TCTGCCAACAAGAAGCCTGGGATTTGTGGATCAGAAAAAAAATATAAGTTGAGGATTTCCAGAGTGATACAGAGATAGTAGAAATGTGAAAGGAATTAAGAAAGAAAAAAATCTGAACTACTTTAATTTTCTTCTATAAGCTCAGAAATGGCCTGGAAGCTTTGAAAGCGACCTTCTGGTCTGGTTAGACTCAAAGGTTGCTGAAAGTGCTGAGAAATTTCCTGTCCTCCAATTCTGTCAAACTGCAGTAAGCAGCTGGATGCATGGTCAGTGTGCAAGAAGAGATGGTTGGAAGCCATCCAAGGGGGCAGTAGAAGAGGGAACTGTCTTTTTGCACAGTGACAGTGAAAGAGGCCTTAGAGAATATTTTTGCACATTGAAACCAGGGGTGAAATTCACAGCATTTTCCTGTTAGATAGTTTCAAGCTCCTTGAAATGCAGTTCTTGCAATAGCCTGTCTGGCTTTGACAGCTCAGTCCAGGTTCCATGGTCAAAACCACTTGGTCAGTCTCTTTGTCCAGCAATTTGCCTGTAACAAGGGATAGTGTTTTAGTATTTCCTCTGCATTGTCTGTAGGGAAAAACCTACTAGTCCGGAAGAGTTAAGCATTGGCATTTCCCTGTGGTGACCATGTCTGCCTCCACAAAGACTGAAATGTTTGTGTTTTCTTTTGGCTACACATCACACCACAGAGCAGCAGAAATAATTGGTGAAAACATCAGAAACAAAGAACATAAAGAATGAGCAAGAGTGGAAATGGATAGTTTTAGAAAATATCTGAAAGAATGGGGAAATTAAGGAGGCAGATTGACACTAACTGTGCAGTCAGCAGTAGCTCTGGAGATGTCCACCTCCATAGCTATGGTACAGCAGGAAGGGCCCTGCTTCAATCAGACAGGTGAGAGGAATGGTCTTGTGAAGAAAAACAGTTATGATCAGAAAGTGCAATGGGTTCCTGTAAAAGCAATAGGGAACATTTTGACCTGAGACAGTCCCACCTGAAAGCCCAGTGAAATACTGAGATTTAGAAATCTCAGTTGCATCTACTCCCACTTTTGTTAGTGGTCATTGATGGATGAGCTGATTGTAAGTATTATTTCTCAAGGACTGTAACCTAGCAAGTGAAAATCATAAAGCTACTCTAATTCCTGCTTATTTAACTTATGCCTAAAGTGGCACAAATTACAGATTCTTGAGGGTTGAAAGAGACCTTCAGAACCATCTACAACAATCAAATTTGCACCATCATAATCACCCTGAACCATACCCCTAAGTGCCACATCCAGACACAGTAGGGTTGCAGCCTAACATAGTGCAGGAGAGTCAGCATTCCTGGGGCAGTATTCTGAGAAAATCTCCCAACTCTGAAAGGAAGCCACGTCACGGGGGATCTGCATTTCCCTCGGCATGCACCTTGAGTTGAGAGTGTGGGTTTTTGTATTAAGGCACCTCTTAAAGGAGAGACAAATACTCTTATCTTGTCACTTTGGAGCTAGAAGAAACTACAGGTAGCTTGTCTTCCTCAGAAACACTTCTGCTTGTCCTTCAGTCATACACAATATGTAGAACAAGCCCCAGGCTGCATCTCTGGGTGCTCACAGTTTTACATGTCATGTTGGTGCTTCAGGAGCTATTGCCTGCTTTCCCTTTCCTCACACCAATATAAAGTAAAAGTAATTTCTCTGAGTTTTGCAAAATTGCACCCCACTGAAGCTGGTGTGTGAAGAAATCAAGTGTCACTAGGGTTGAATTTCATATGTCAGATGCACTTAACCTCTCCTAAATCCCTGGGTCTGGACTAAGTGTCTCCAACTGGATGACAACCTTCAGGAGAGCTTAGCTCAGGAAAGGCTGAAGAAAACACAAAACAGGTCTCAGTGAACTGAACTAAGAGCAACAACACTAGTGACTCTCCATTTCCAAAATTAGAAAGAGAGGTAGTTACTGTTCTGTGCACTAACTTGGGGGTAATGATTGTTCATAACTCAGGGCACAAAGTAGTATCCCTGGGGAAAAAACAGTTCTATTCTCCTTTGTGTGGTACCACATATTTGGGTAGATACTGGCTTATCAGTAATTAGTAAATTCCTTTTGCAATTTTTGATTTGTGCCAAGATGGAAGCTTATATCCAAGGTTATGGCTCTCCTTTGACTTCCATAATTAAAGAAAGGCCCCTCCAGAAGTCTGTAAAGTCAGAGGGATGATATCAGTATAAATCAGTGAAAGGGGACTTAAGCCTCTGATACTTAATTTTTTACAGCATACTATTCCAATTAATTCCCAGGGATTCCCAAAGCTCCAGCCAGATGCCCAGTTTGAAAGGCTGTCCAGGAAATGCTGGAATGAAGTGGGTACAGCACCTAGCCAAGTGCCATCTGTTGGCCATTTACCATACTGCCTCAGAGGATAGTTTCTGGGTGCCTGAACCAAGCACAGATGATGTGGTCTAAACCCTTCTCTTCAGATCCAGACCTACAGTTTAGTATCTCATTTCAGAAGGAGGGGTCCTCTTTTCCCTTGATCCAGTCCTTTCAGACTCCCAGTGTAGTTTATCTTCCAGTTGGACATTAGGACGAATTTCTTCACAGAAAAGGTGATTAGACATTGGAATGGGTTGCCAGGGAGGTGATGGAGTCACTGTCCCTGTTAAAAGAAAGACTGGATGCTGCACTTAGTGCCATGGTCTGGTTGACATGGTGGTGCTCAGTCACAGATTGGACTTGATGATCTCAGAGGTCTTTTCCAGCATAATTGATTCTGTATTCTGTGATCTTGGAGAAGATGTAAGACTTCTGGCTAATGGTTTAGGACATGAGCAGGTATACTAACAGATCTTACTGCCACTTGTGAAGTATCCTCTGTCTTTTTGTTGAAGGACTTGATTAACCATTCCTAGGGAGACCTGAGCATAGTGACCCCTTCTCATGCTTACTTCTCCAGTGCTTTCAGGTGGGATAATTTGAGCTAGAGGAAGAAGATAAGATTTGCTCCTGTGTCATTGGTGTAGTCTCAGCAAATGTCCCAGCACCTCTGTACTGTCAGGTTGACTCTCTGTCCTGTGGCCACAGGACCCCAGGAGATTATCCCACACTGTCTTGAATCACCTTGTGTGTAGGATATTAGTTTTGGATGTAGGACTGGTCTCCAGGTAACAATCCTCTCTGCATAAGTTTGTGCTACTCCTTTAGAGGGATGGACCTATTATTGCTTCAGCCTAACTTGGAAGTCTATGGGAGACATAAAGAGCACGCCTTTCAAAATGGATTTGGAGCAATAAGTACTGAAACTTTCTCGTGTCCTGCAGAACTTCTTCATTGTACTGGCAGATTGCCTAAATAACTGACAAGGCTTACTGAAAACACCCTCAAACAAAATGTCCACTGTCCAGTGACATCACCTAGGGCTCTCATAAAAGAGAAATGCTTCCTGATGACACTTGGGGCTAGAAGTTTCTCACAAAGTATCAGTCAAACAGTTTGTGTCCATACCACAGCAAAATGGATTTTCCAGAAATGTTACCATGTGGCAGGAGGTGAGGATGGCAGTTCTGGGGGTGGATCTTCACTGCCTCCTTCTTCTTAACCATAGTCTCTTCTTGACCTGCACTGATGTGCAGGCTGCTCCAGGAGACATCTCTCAGAAACACTATAAACCTCAGACTCAGCCTCCACAACCCCAGGGTTGTTAAAGAGCTTCTGGCATTTTCTTGGTATGGAAGGAATTTTACATGCCATGATTTAATCACATTTTTAGCACAGATTGTTACTTTTTGTCTCCTTAGGTTTCCTTTGCAGACAGAGACATCTCCTTCTTTCTTCACATGCAGAGAACATATGTAAATATCTGTCTTGTTCATTCACTGTGATGATTTTACTGGTGTGAGCAATGAAGACACTCTAAAATATTGTTTCTGTATGTTCTTTGAGACCAACAGAACTCTTCCTGAGCCATTTGATGGAGCATTTCAGGCAATTTTATTATTTTCCTAAATATCATCTATATAATACTAGTGCAAATCTATTAAAAATAAAGTTGGAAACATAAGTACATTGCTTTGCAGAATGTATTGTGAGTTATTTTGATGCAACGTGGGTGTGCAACACTGCTATTTGCAAAACTTCATCTTAGACCTCTGTATGAAATTGAGGACTGAACATATACAACATATATACCTAATAAATACATTCAATATTTTTGCAAAGAAATGGCTGCCTGACTCAATCTGCCAACCTGGACTTTTAAACTAATTGAACCTCACATTTTTGTGTGTTTATTTTTTGAGCAAATCTTCTCCTCCCCCATACAGGTGGTTGTGTCATGGGATCTTTTATGCAGTTTGCTTCAGTTGTTTCCTTGGTAGCATATTCCATATGTTTACTATCACCTTTTTTTTCCTTTAGTAGCCTAGAGCATTTTCCTCACCAAAAGCTTCATGGGTATCTTTCCAGGAAATATCATTGTTCAAAAAAAGGTTTATAGGAACAAATAAAACACATTTCCAAAATAGTGCTACCAAATAACAAAATAAAAAAAAAGTTCATAGTTTTTGATGATGAAGATATTAAAGGGAATAAAAAACTGTGTTGTTTAAAAATAACCAACTCTTTAATAGTACTGCAGGAGAATATTCAACTAAATGGAATGTAGCTTTCCAGCAAGCCCATCTTATCTTAGATTGAAACAACAGGTTGAATTAATTTTTTTTCATTTCTGTTTCTCATCTATATTTTGCACTCCCACCATTACTTGCTACTATTTATATTTTATGTTAAGGGTCTTTTTTTTCAGCTGTTTCTAAAATTTTACAAAAGAAGCCAGATATCATGTTGGAAACTCAAAGCTCCAAATCAGGCTATAAACCCCATACATATACGTGCTGTATAAAAGGCCACTCTACTATTCATTAGCACCTCCTCTGTTGACTTTCCTTCTCTTCCCTCCTTTTACCCCTCCCAGCAGGTAGAACTGAAGGGTCTTACCTGGCTTCTTTACTTTGCAGACTCAGAACAGAGCACCGGGTCAGACACAGAGGTGCTGGCAGAAAGGACATCCTGCTCATTTGGATCCCATTCTGACCTTACATCTGGTGGCTCAGGCCCTCAGCCTCCTCCACCTTCATCCATGGAAGAGATCCAGGTAGAGTTGCAGTGTGCAGACCTCTGGAAAAGATTTCATGACATTGGGACAGAGATGATCATCACAAAAGCAGGCAGGTAAGACATCTCTGGCTTTCTGTCTAGTTAAAAAAGAAATCATAACCAAACAAACCAATTTTTATTTCATTGTTTTTGTTAAAAAAAAAAACAAAACAAAACCTTTTTTTTCCTCTTCTTGATAATCCAAAGGGATAAACATGCATGAAAAATTAAATGGCTCTCTGAGTTTCTCAGCTGTGTTTCTTATTAGGTTTCTTAATACAAGTGAAGTTGTTTCATATGACTGTTTGAATAAGTGGCTCCAAAGGAGAACTGGCAGCTGCAGGAAACCATTGAGGATAGTTGTTCCTTTGTGCAAATAAATCAGGAAACAATCATTGTACTGTTGGCTGTACTGAATTTAAGATGAGCTATAAATTTGGGGGTGACCTATTTGAGTCTTCTTTCAAGTTTACATAGCACTTCATAAGCTTTTTGATTTAATCTCAAATATAGTGAAATTCAAACTCACCTTTGCACCAAATGAAGTCTTCCTGCAGCTCTAAATAGATGCAGTGTTAATGACTTCCTGTATAAAAAATGTGCAAGCCTAATGTTTGCCTTTGCTATTGCAGTGATACCATGACAGATGAGGTTAGAAAGAGCCACAAATTAGCCAGAATTTTAAAAAAGGAAAACCTCATTATTACAGGTTAGCCAAGGGGAAGATCTTCACTGCTGACAACTATTTAAAAATGGCTAGGAGTGTGTTTGCCAAAACACAACCTAGAGGTAGTTGTAAATTTCTAGATGTCCCAAACTAGGATTTTTAGGCACGTTTGCATTCGTAGGCCGTTTCCTACCTTCACCTAATGAGGTTGAAATTCCGATCGACACGGAGAAGGAGAACATCAGCACCACGGACAGAGCCCGCCAAGGCGCGCAAACACCGGGAGTGCCCGGGAGCTGTCCCCGCTGTGCCACAGAGAGGGAGCAGGGAAATTTTACCCAAGTTTTGGGGAAAACCCCGGGTGCTCTATTGTTTACAGCATTGTTTCATATCTGTGCTATCAAAATTTGTCAGAACAGCTCGACTTGTTATTTCACATTCTTGTGAAGTGAGCGCTGTTGCTTTCTAGCCCCAGAAAGTCCAGATAATTCAAGGAAAGTTACACTGGACAAATAACCCAGATGATTCCTGAAAAAATATTATCAGAGCCAGATTAGCTCCAAGTTTTAGATTTCAGTGGCAAAGGAAGCATTTTTCACCAGTACAGAATGGGCTGCTGGTTTTGACCTTCTGCCTCAAATGGAAGAGGCAAAGTAACAGGAATGATACCACCTGCTATTGTGCAACAGCTCCTCTCTGGAGATGTTAAAACAGATACAGAAAAGAATTATTATCCTCTTTTCATAGGTGGTGACATCGAGATTTAAACAGATTAGGGGATCTGTCCAGCATCATTAAATTTGGCACTGGAAGCATCAACTTCCTTCTTTCTGGATTTATTGTCCTGGTGCCTGCACGATGCTTTATTTTCACAAATTGAAAATAAAACATTTGTTACCTGTTAGATTAACTGTAATTAATTCTATGATGATACATGGAATATATAGTAAAAGCAGCATAAATATATCTTTGCCCACCAGTTCAAACGAAAATGGGTGAAACTTAGTGGTATGAAAAGGATCTTGGCAGCTCACACATTTCTGAACAAAGTAGCTGATCCTTCTGACATCTTACAAGCTCCAGTGTGGATAGTTTTTCCACTTACAGAATATCATGTATCACAATAGAGTCATAACTTCCCATGAAAATCATGCATTTGTTATAATCCTAAATAGCATTCTTTCTCCTTGAAAGGAGACGCTTGTAATTACTTGAGTCCTGATGGGCAATTGTTACATTACTGCCCACAGAAAATCTATGTAACAACTAAATAGATGTGGTTTTTGATAGTTGATGATGTTCTTCTCCAGAAGTGATGTTAACAATATTGGAGCACTGCTGGCTTTTTCTTTTACTGTTGACTACATTTGTAGGTTAATCATTGCAAACCACAATGAAGACCTGGGCAGTTCCTTTAGGTAATACACCTGTTTATTGAGGATGGTCCTTAAAGGTGTGATAGAATTTACAAATTAAATGATTAAACAGTTCAACAGGTTAAACAGTTTTCTCTCAGAGAAGATGTGTCTGTGAGGAGAGAGAGCTGGATCTAGCAGTCCTGATTCTCCATATGGGATGCATGATACATGATGTGTCCCAGAGATTAGATTTTATTATTTCTGGCATAGATAGCAGAACTGGTGTTATTTCCTGAAGATTTCTTACTACTTATTCACATTGTTAGAGACACACAGAGTAATTTGCATCTGCTTCCTTCCCCACAGAAGATTTTACTCCTGTTGCTTTCTCTTTGGAAACCCTGATTCCCATAAGGCCTTCTTGTTTTGAAAGCCATTATAATTACAGACTCAGTTGCCTATAACTACAGCTGCTCCTTAATTTTCTATGACTTTTAAAGCACTGCCTGGTTCCTGCCTGTCCCCACAATGTCTCTCTGCTCTTGCTGTATAATGCTAATTTCTAACCTACGTTCTCATTTCAAACATAGTTATGGGGCTATATCCTGCCCTGCATTTTTTGACTTTCAGACTCCTACTCTCACTCATTTCTAATTCTGCTTTGTTGTTTTTCTTTTCTTCATGCTGTATTTATAGATGTCTTTTTTTTGTCTGTTTCCATAAACCCACTCCAGTCCTCTTATAACTCTTCCTCTTTCCTTTCCATCAAAGCATTTTTATTTAGATTTTAATCAGATGCTTATAAAAAGACACCTTTGTTCCTTGTGTAAAAGATGCAAATGGCTGGCAGCTGCAGTCATTCAAATCTGCAGTTACCTTTATCTCCTTTGAGTTTGAAAGGGAACCTTGAACTCTGTAGAAATTAAAATAAGTTCATCTTAAGCCCCAGGTCATACTGATTTGAACAACTAGTCCTAAAATAATTTTTGACTCTTTTTCTCTGCTCTCCTTTACTAACAGTGATCATAGTGGCAGCATCAGTGGAGGAATTTGAAACCTTTCCTACATCCTACAGTCCCTACCTAGTGTCCATGGTCACCTGAGCTGCAGGGGTAACTGTTCATTAACTGATGCATGGGAGTGCTGCCCAAAGTGGGGGAAAATGTGCACTTATTCCTGGGGGAATACACTACAGGGAGTGCTTGGAGTCCTCCTCTGGAAGGCAACAGCTGCTTTCTGTTTATGGAGGTGGTTTTATGAGTGCTACCATGCATCCCAGCACATCCAAGAGGTATCATTCTGGGAACACAGGTTCTACCTGTAACAGAGTTGGGATCTCACCTCAACAATGGGGGAATGATCCCATCTGTCCTATCACAGTTATCATATCTGTGCTGCAGGATGGCTCAAACCAAAATGCTGATGGACAGGATGGGTAGTTAAACTGGAAAAAGCCACCAGTGAGTGAAACAGGTGACCTTGTCCTCTCCTGACTTCTCTGTGCCACCTGACAGGTTAAGTGCTGCTTTGCCTGCAGTCTCTTTGCCTCCCTGAAATCATGAGTCTGAGTTCTCCATAGAATGTACTCATGGCTGTTTACATAACCAGGTGTTAGTTTTCCTTTCCAGTGAGGAAAGATGGGTCCCAAAATGCTCCTCAGTTAGAGAGAGCAGAAGAGATTTTGTAATCAAGCTCTGTTGATGCTGAAGGGGCCCATGGAGAGGACTTCTCAGAGCAAAGGCTGGCAGGCCCCAGCTAGCAAACTGATTTTTAGAGTTCCTGGTCCTTGTGGGCCAGATAAACTTGCTCCAGCTTCCAGAAGAATGTCCCCTTTGGGAGAAACTGAGAAGATCTGTTGGTCTCCTTCTCCTTCATAAACAGTAAATCCATTTGCCACCAAGCCCTGCCCTCAGATTTTCCTCTCAAAACACTCATCTCTACACGATCCCATGCTGCAGAGGGAAACAGAAATGCCTTTCCTTGCCTTGCCTTGCCTCCACTGCCTTTCCTTGCCTTGCCTTGCCTTGCCTTCCTTTCCTCTCTTTCACTCCTCACACATTTTTTTTCTCTAAAGAATTATACATTTGGCATCGATCTTAGATGCAAGGAAATATGAGATATGAAATAACAAGGACAGCTTCAGGTTGCCCAGTAAATTCACACACATTGTGAACACTGCAGACCTAAACCAGATTATTTTGCAGAGTTTCTCAACCCGATTATTTTTATGTCTGGGAAATGACTATTCTATCTATATTTTTGTTGCAGTTGAAGAGCACATGCTTTCATTTTAGGGTTTGCAATTAATAGATGTCACCCTTATACAAATCTTATACACCCTTATAATATTATCTGAGTTCCTAACTTAAGGGTAAGAAACTGAAGCTTTATTATATTGCGGAAAAAACCCAGTTCAGGGATATATCTATGATCCTCCTCCCATGACCAGTTTTCACAAAGTAAAATTAAACTATATTTTAAAAGAAAATTTTAAATACCACCACCAAAAGATATACTGCCAGCTGCCACAACCAACTAATTTTTTTGTTGTTGAAAGTTCCCAAACATGGTTCTTAATATGAGTACACACCTGTGCTGGCAAACACTTTTTAACTAAGTTCTAGAGATATTTAATTATTATCAGTTTTGATGTTCATAAACTCCAATCTCATTTTGGAGAAAACCAGAAACTGAGTAGACTGAGGCACATGGTTGTTGCTAAAATGCTTTTTGAAACACTTCTAAGTGGTCCAAAAGTAGTTATAATAATATATTTCATATCACATTTCCCCTACAAGGGTACTGCATCTAAGTTCACAGTCTAAGTTTTGGTAGAGTGTTTTTCTGCTGAGTGGTAAAGCTAACATATAAATAACTTGATCATCCCAAACTGCTGCTGATATAAAACCTCCTCCTAAAATATATCAGATGTCATCACATGTTCCCTATGAAAAGAGACAGCCTTCGTGTCTGTAGCTGTTGACTATGAAGCTGATACCTTTCTAGATGAAAGATTCTTGGCTGTTTATTAATACAACCATATCCAAATGGCCTGAATTCCTTCCAAACCCTTGACCCTCTTGTTTTCTACAAGGCTGGTGGCTCTGGGCAACCAAGAGCCAGCCAAGAGGAAATGCAGAGAACAGGGACTTTACCAGGATTATACACGAGCACATCCCTAAGTCTCCACTGTTAGCCTCTGCCTTTTCCATTTCCCTCTTTCCACACAGCACTGCTGCTGTAGACCTGCTGTGACAGTTCCAGGCCACATTTTTATGGCAAAGAAACCTAAGTTACTTTTATACCCACGGACAAAGAAAAACAGTAATAATTACAAAACTTTAAAAGTACACTTAAACTTTAGAGAAAGTAGTGGGATCAGCTGAGCTCTCTCTGATCATTTTAGAGATTAGCCTCTAAGCCTGCTGAATGGTCTGTGGTAATCTTTTACAAGGCATTTCATAAGCAAACAACCCCACAGGCTATACTGCAACTTTACACGGGGCTGCAGATTTGGAGAGAACTTTTTGGGACACACAGCTCATTCAATTTTCCCAACACAGTGTGCAGACTTAGACCCAAAGAGACTCTGATTTAATCCTGGGTTTCTCATCAGCCCTCTGAAACATGACCTACCTCTTTAGCTGCTCCCAAGCCACCTCTCTCTAATTAAAGAGAGCTGGACTGTAAAATGCCACATCCTGTACCCATTTGGCTTGGCAGATTTAATGAGCCATTGTGGCAGAAACAAGGTAATACCCTCAAGCTACTGAAGACTAATCCATTATTCCTTCCCCACCTGCCCCCGGTCACTCTACTAGCAAACTCACACCATCAGTTGCACAAATTGCTCTCTCCTTGAAGGGTTTCTGCAGACGATTTTTCTGACAGTTTTACATCTCCCATAACTCGGGTTAGCTGTGCTGTGGCAGCTGTGGGGCGGTGCTCTCCCCATCCCCCAGGATAAATGCCCTTTTCCAAAGCAGATGCAGTTACTAATAGGTCAGCTCTTATCTTCTCAGTGTGGCCTGAAATGAAAGAGCTGTGGGTAGGGCAAAGGCTGAGCATCCTCCTCCTTCCCACACTCTTCTGCTCTATGGGGCTTGGCTGGGAAAGAATGAAATAGATCCTCATGATCACATCCCTCTTGTGCAAAGTTTGAGAAACATGCCTGGAGATGTTGACACAAGCTTCCCTGTTTTCTTCCTCCTCCAGGCTGTGCTCACTAGCAATACTTTGAGGAACAGAAATGTTGAAAGGACTAAATCTTCTTCTCTGATATTTCACTGTTTCTCATTAAATAGAAGGGAAAATGTCACAATGGTTTGTAGGGATGACTCCTAAAAACATTTCTTGCACACTTTCCTACTATTTTAGCATTGTGATTTTAAATTGCCCTTTAATATCCTCCCTCCATCCACATACTTCCATCCCTCAAGATATGTCTGCTTATCAGAGAAGCAGAACATAATGTTGTATAAGCACACAGTATTTTTGGGGTTTCTTCTACCAAAGCTCTGTATTTTCTAGGCAGAAATAATCCAATTGAGTAACACTATCCTACAGGACCTCAGTTTAATTTTTTCTCAGATAAAGGCTAAAAAGCCACTTAGGTAGAGCTCAGGTCTGGGTCAACAGTCAGTGAAACAATGCAGGATTTCTTTCAGTGCTCTGCTCTGATTTCAGTGTTGCTCAATTCCTTCTGCACCTCATTCAGTTCAGCTCCTCAGATTTTATGAAGGTGTAAAAACACCACATTAGTTGGAAATATAATATGGCATAAGTAATTGCCTCAGCATGCTCTTTGAGGGAGGTGTAGAGCAGAAATTGGTCTACTGGCCACCATAAAATTTTTAAGAAGGAGAAATTATGTTACAGCCACACTAACACTAACATGCTTTAAGGTCAAAATTGTTCTGATCTGTTCTCTTCTGAAATAATTGCCTAGCTACAAACACTTCCACAACAGTGACTGTGTTTAGCAGAGCTTAACTTGTGCTCAGACAAGAAGAAAAAGGCTGGAAATTGTTTTTTTGTTGGTGTAGAGTACTTTGTCTGTAAGGAGAAAATGCTTAAGATAGATCTGGATCATATGGCATAGAAAAAGACAACATCTATTAAAAAGATCACACAAAACAGTACCAGGACTTAGGAGAAAATGCTTAAGATAGATCTGGATCATATGGCATAGAAAAGACCACATCTATTAAGGAGATCACACAAAACACTACCAGGACTTCAAGGAAGCCATGACATAATGCCAGTGTTTATGTTGAACGTGAAGTACATTCCTAATGAACAGATTAATTTGAGGGATGATTTCCTTAAATAACTGTAAGCATGATAGCCACAGGACCTTTCAGGACAATGCATTTACTTCAAATGTTACCTCAGTACTGTCAAACTCTTTACTGAAATGTGACATCCTCAAAAAAAAGAGAACTAAAGTGATCCTGCATTTAATGGAATATGAGAGAAGAATTACAGGTGGATGGCCAGTGGGAAAAACACAAGATAAAAGGCACACTGCCCATCCTAGGAATGCCTTAGAGAGGATAATTTGTGTGAAGCATAGCAGAACTCTCGGCTAGGAACTGGGAACAGAGTGCTTGACTGTGAGCATCTTATCATTACTTCCAGGTCGTTATCCTGTTACTCCTTTTTCTAAGTGGGAAAAACCTGAAGATTCAAACCACTGCCAGCACAGTCTTTTCTACCCACATCAAGCCCAGAGGAGTCATGCCAAGGGCTGGGCTGTGTAAAGTAGCACGCTTGCAGTGCCAGAGAGAGGTACAAGGAGCCTCCTCAGCTTCCTTATTCACCCTTTTCTTCCTTATTTCTATTCTTATTTTCCTAGGAGAATGTTTCCAGCCATGAGGGTGAAAATTACAGGCTTGGATCCTCACCAGCAGTATTATATTGCCATGGACATTGTCCCTGTGGATAACAAGAGATACAGGTAAGCTTTTCAGGGGCAGAGGTAGGAATCTTGTACCAGCTTTACTGTCAATGACAGCCTAGGAAAGACACCTCCATTAAACACCATTGCAAAGTTGTGCTGGAGGAAAACCTTTGATTTGCACCAACAAAGCTGATATGACAAGAATCTTTAGACACATACCCAGAGTTTTAATACATTCTCTTGCACTTTTCAAATGAAATCTTTCTCTTTTCAAGTAGAAGTTTTTAATTGAGGAGATCCTGTCATGCATTTCCTGATTGGCATAATTAACAGTGACTGTCTGAGAGAACTGATGGCTGGAGTTATCAACAGGGGGTCTGCAGCCCCCAAATCTACTTCCTCAAGAAAGGAAGGGGCAAGGAGCAGCCAGGCCCCTCAGATCTGGCTTGAACCGGAGTGGGTGATTTCTGTTTCAAAAGTGCTCACTGTCCAGCACAGCAGCCTCAGTGAATATCGGTCCCTGACCTACAGAATGGAGTCACTGAGAAACTTTCCACTGCTGAGCTAAAGACAGGAAGAGGAGATTTCTCTGATATTAATGGCTTTCTGATCTTAAAAAATGCTCTGGAAAACTCATGCTCCTCTGCATCCCAGAAAACTCTCCAGACTGGTGTGATTTATGTATTCTTATTAAAAGACCCCTGAGAGTAAGTCTCTTCTCCAAATAGTCTTGACTGAACCACATTTCAAGGATTCAGAATTGAACCTCTCTTCAAATGCTAAATACTACATTTTTGCTCCCAAACTGTACAGACTTTTTTCTCAGGAAAAATGCTTTTCCTGGGAAGCAGAAAGATAATGTTTGATACTCATCTGGATGTTTTTCCTCTTTCTAAGAGTGTGGTTCTAACAACATTGCCATTGAAAATACATTTATTTTCTTACCCTGCTTGGCTTGTGTGGCCACATAGAGCAAACTAACAGGAAAGGAAAAGACTTTCTTTTTTTTTTTTTTTTTTTTTTTCTCCCCCAGTTTCTTGTGACAATACAGGAAATTAGTCACTGTTTGTAGGTAAGGACTGGAACATCTTAGAGCTGAGTAGAGACCCAAGGAGGGGCAGCACAGGGCAGAACTCAGAGGAACTGTTTGAAATACCTTTGAGGGAAGGAGCTGCAGGGCAGGAGAAAAAAATATGTTGTCTAGGCAAAGCTGTGGTAGAGAAATTTATGGCATATATAGGATGGCTAGATCAGGAACAAAAAATTAATTTTTTCCTCTAATCCCAATGTATGTAATACTATATGGAATTTCCTTTTTTGCAACATTTCAAACAAGAAATTCTGTTTTATCAATTGTTTTACTGGTATCTATTGGATATTGCCCATTCTGGGTGACGCCACATGTGTTTTCCAAAGTCTGGTATGAGATACAAAGCAGATTTCCAGAAATTGCAGGGTATTTATTAATATTTTCAGAGAGGACTTTGTTTAACCGTATTTTCCAGCCTCTTACTCTGGCTGAGAGAGGGTTAAGGATTTGAGAAGGCACATGTGGCAGAGTTTTACAGGGAAAATAACTGCAAGGTGGTTTTAATAAGGAATCAAGTCTGAACAAGTGGCTCAGGGGTAATCTGGCTTTCATTTAGAAGGTAGGAGGTTGCAATAAAGCACATTCTCCCCTAACTGCAAATGAGAGCTTGGGGTGCATGAGGGTGGCAGGGGTGGGGGAGCCCTGGATGTGTTCCTGCAGTGAGTGAGTGAAAACCTCCCTGAGCCACCTACCCTTCCTCTTTCAGGTATGTGTACCACAGCTCCAAGTGGATGGTGGCTGGCAATGCTGACTCCCCAGTGCCCCCAAGGGTTTACATCCACCCTGACTCCCTGGCTTCTGGAGACACCTGGATGAGGCAGGTGGTCAGTTTTGACAAGCTCAAGCTGACCAACAACGAGCTTGATGATCAAGGCCATGTAAGTTAGAAGTTAATCCTGGTGCCTGCTGTCCTAGATTTGCTCCCCTCAGACTTGAAAGGGTGCTGCTGCTGCTTTGATGCTCCTGTGTCCTGTTGGGCACACGTGTCTGTGGTTGCTTCCAGATTTATGGAGTTTTTTTTGCTATTTCAGTGCTTTTCTTCAAAATGTTGCCTGACCCTATAAAGCACCTTTCTCTTTGCTCACAGCGCAAGCTTTATCTCATACATGCTTGTAAGAAAAGGATAATTTTCTCCATATTAACTCTTACTCAGTCCCTGCATTCTTGTACGTCTGGATGTTGTGCAAATTATTTTTTTGGGAAAAAAGTCCATTTTCTTTTGTTTCCTCTTCAGATAATCTTACATTCAATGCATAAGTATCAGCCTCGTGTTCACGTCATCCGCAAGGATTTCAGCAGTGATCTTTCTCCTACAAAACCAGTTCCTTCAGGAGATGGGGTGAAAACCTTCAACTTCCCTGAGACTGTTTTCACCACAGTGACAGCCTACCAAAATCAACAGGTAAATCCTTCATGCTCCTTTTATGGTGTGCCTTCACAAAAATGTCAGTGTGCTCTTTGTGACTGAGACACTAAATTCTCTGAGAAGCATAGAAAAGTTACATTTAAAAAAAAAATAAAAAGGAAAAAAAGAAAATAGAAGAAGAAAATGTTTGCTCTGGGGTATTGTGTAGACACGATGTATTTAGCCAGGAAAACACCTTGAAGATAACATGGCTGTAGCTTTTACTGTAAAATAAGTAACTAAGATCAACTGTAAAGAAGTGTGTTGTGTTCAAATTTCCTTGCTACCTCATAGTACAAAACTAGAGTATCTTGTCCTCACTATAATTTTAAGGCAGTACAGCTATACCTCCAATTTTCTCAGAGACAAAGCAGTTGGGTTTTTTATAGCAGTGAAGGAAAACAGTTTTGAGGAAGCTCAATCTCATCAGTTTGTTGACAAAATAAGCCTTTGAATGCATGCATTGCATATAAACTGAAATTCTCATGCACGCATGTCCTGAGGGATAGGGGTCAGGTAAGGGGTCAAGTAATGTACCTGAAAATTAGGAAAGTAAGCTTCCAGTTCTGCAAGGAGATGGTCAATGGGATCTTTTGGGAGCCTGCCATTAGGAACCAGGCATGGAACAGAGCTGGCAGATCTTGAAGAGAGTCTTCCATCCAGGCCAACAGCCAGCAACCCCAGGAGCCAGAAATCAGACGAGGAAGTCAAGAGAGCAGCATGGCTGAGTAGGGACCTGCTGGGCAAACCAGATGGAAAGAAACAAATGCACAGGCAGTGGAAACAGAGACAGGTACCCTGTGTAGGGACTGGGTGAGGAAGGCCATGGCAAAGCTGGAGCTAGACCTGGTAAGAGATGCAAATCATAACAAAAAGGAGTTCTACAGGTAAGTTAACCAGGAAAGAAAGGTTGAAGAAGGTGTACCTCTCCCTGATAACCAGTGCTGGAAAACTGGTAATAACTGATGAGAAGGCTGAGGTACTTAACACCTTTTTGGCCTTAGTCTTCAAATGAATGAGTCCTCACTTCTCACATATCTTGAGAGGATGGGCAGCAGGACAGACTGGGTAAGCAAAATGCTTCCCACTGTAAGTAAGGATCAGAAGAGAAGACTTTGGGGTGATATAATTGCAGCCTTCCAGTACTACGAGGGAGCCTACAAGAAAGATGGAGAAACTTTTTACAATGGCATGTAGGGACAGGATAAGAGGAATGGTTTCAAAGTGGAAGAAAGTAGGTTTAGACTAGGTATTGCAAAGGAATTCTTTACTGTGAGGAGGGTGAGGTTCTGGCACAGGTTGCCCAGTGGAGCTGTGGGTGCCCCATCCCTGGAAGTGTTCAAGGCCAGGTTGGATGGGGCTTTGAGAAACCTGGTCTAGTGGAAGATGTCCCTGCCCATGGCAGGTGGGTTGAAAAATATGATCTTTATGGTCCCTTCCAACCCAAACCATTCTGTGATTTCATGATAATTTGTGTCTGGTTCAGGTCTTATATAGTTTCCAGTGCTGAGACTTAGTACTGACTTTAGATACCATAAAGAAAAGATGTTGCTGTAGCAGGATCCTTTCTCTAGGGACCTTGACTTTGTTAGTGATCCACACTTAAACTAGACATCAGTTTTCTGGGACTGAAGGACATATCAATACTAAATCAGCTTAAGGTAGATTGCAATATTTAACGAATTTTAAACAATTGTGAATTCTAACAATTTAGAGAAATGCTACAGAGTTTTTTATTTTGCAATGTATAAGAGAGTGCAGGTGTAGACAGTGCTCCTGGGACTACTTTTTATTCTTCTCATGACTCCCAGCTTTTTTTCTCAGTCTGGTATCCTTGAGCTGACTTAAATCAGATTCCAAAATGCATCAAAAACTTTGCAGCACACTGGTGGGTTTGTGATCATTGCAGTATGGGAAACTTCCTGCTCCCCTTGCCCAAATGCAGATACTCCACAAATGTTGACTGTAGATCAGACAAGGAAGGAGGATAGGGAAAGGAGAAGAAATGACAGGAAATAAGCCTGTCATTCTTCCTTAATGACCAGACTTATAAGACATAATTACACAGGGAGGGAGATGCTAAGGGAGGGATCCCTGTCAGGGATTGGCACCATAAGCTGCCTCAGCATAAAGAAATGCTGACATTTCTGTCTCTCTGAATTCCAAATGTTTGGGGATTTTGTTCAAAAAGATTTGGGGGACAATCACATTTTTGTAATACCAGTAAGGAGATTCTGGTGAGCTGGAGAAACATTTTCATTTAAACCAAATCTAAATCCCCTGAATCTGCCTGCATGCCCTCCAGTGGCTGCAGAGCTCTGCCTTACTGAAGGAAGCGTCTCTGGAAACAATTGTAAAATGTTAGCAAATCCACCACAGGGATTCCCTCTGCTGTAATTCCATCCTCCACAGAACATATCTGTCTCTGTACACACAAGTCCCAGGACAGCTGCAAAGTCAGGCTAGCGGAAATTAAGTTCACAAATTAAGCTTCTGCAAAAATAGGAGCTGCATTCCAGATCTGAGGTTAATATCCAGAGTAAGGGCTTGGTTCTGACAGAAGCAAAACACCTGCAAATCCCCTTCAGATCAGACTGTATTAACCTAGTCCCTTTTGAGCAGTTTCAGCAAAACCACCTCAAATTTGGTAGGTTCTGGAGATCTCGCTCTTCTTCCATTCCAAACACATAATGTCTAGGACAAGCTGAGGCTGGCAGAGGGAAGCTCTTTTGCCACACCAGGTTGTGGAATAGCCCACAGGGAGTACAATACCACAGGCTTCAAGGTCAAAATCCCAGTCTTATGGTCCATATTTACCAACATGGAATTCATTCTTAAAAATAAAGCAGGAAGGAAGATTCCCCCTAAGAACTCAGACTGGCTATTATCTCCTTTATTTAGAGGAGGAAAAAAAATAAATTTCCAAACCAGAAAATTCTTGAGGGCTGCCTAGATGTTGACCAGAACAACAGCAACTTGTATGTGTGACTGAGTGGCCACCTGACATCTTTGGGGGCCTTAGCCTGTGCTTTTCTCTTCAGCATTGTTTGAAGGTCCATGAGTTGCATGCAGCTGCTGGATATCTGGAGTGTTGAGGCTGAGATAACTCAGATAGTGGCCAAACTTGAGCAGTGTCCCTGCTTCCCAAGCCATGTGGCCATTGATAAATAACAGCTCCTGGGGTTTTGCACCTGGCGAACTTCTGCTCCAGGAACTTCTACTTCTCAGCCCCAGCACTGTGCCAGATTTCCTAGTGCTACTATGGTTTCTGTCTCTGGTGACATGTTTTGATAAGCAGACTATCTGTTCATAGATAATGGAAGGGCAAATTTGACAGAGGTGTGGGGAAATAAGTGTGAAAGATCATTGTAGAGGTGGCTTGGGCAAGAATGAAAATCATCCGCAATTTTCCTTTGTTGAAAGAAAAAAAAAATGAAGATACCAACTAATTCTCTTTTTCTTCCTTTTAGATCACTAGATTAAAAATTGACAGAAACCCCTTTGCCAAAGGTTTCAGAGATTCTGGGAGAAACAGGTAACAGAAGCTTGTTTGTGTTTCCTCACTGACTTCTTCCCTCCTTTCCCTGATGGGTGCACAGGGCGTATGCCTATGGTTGAGAAAGGCAATTTTAAATTTTTTCGTTAAAATGAATAACAGAGATAGAAAAATGGCAGATAGCAGATTGCATAACAGACAAAGAGGTCAGAGCCTAACACTGTGCAAATAATTATTCTTTATTACATGTGGGGTTGTCTGAAGGAAATAAGAGGTCAGAGCCTAACACTGTGCAAATAATTATTCTTTATTACATGTGGGGTTGGCTGAAGGAAATTTTTAAGTTTTAATTTTCACAGGAAATGCCAAAAGTTGGAGAGCAAATGCTTTCTTTATGTTAGAAGAAAAAATTAGTTTCTCAGAGGTATGCAGGATAAAAGTGCAAAAATGTTCTAGTTTCAAATAATTTAAATCTTTATCCAGCAGTGTCCAGTGGTTTCACTTTGACTGCTTTGCTTAATTTTGTCATGATTTTAATGAAAAAATTAAGTAGAATACCTTAAATACTATTTAGAAGAAATTATATTTCAACAGCACAGTAGTTAAAATGGAGCTTTAATCAATCCCCCTATTGTATTAATAAAAGGCATTACAGAGTTATCAAAAAAGAGTAAGAAAAAAAAAGTTTCAACTTTTTCTGCTGTTCATGAATTCTGCAGCACAATGTGCAGCAGATCTAAATATCTCAAATCTAAATGATGTAGGTATCCTTTAAACCAGTGTAACAAAGGCTTTAAACCTTAATTATACAATTAGGCATATATGACTACATTACAAGAAGCCTAGGGTTGCAAAGCAAAGCTGCGAGTGTGCAGACCAGAGTAAAAGTTGTGCGTACAGCTCTCATTTGCTGTCCCCATGGGCACTGTAACTCAGTTTTACTTGCATGCTCCTGTTGTGTGTGTTTACCAGGACTGCTGTCTCCTTCATAAGGAGGTTTGGTGAGGTCAATGTTCATGAACGGGCAACTGCCCTGTGTTTTCCACCACTCACTTCAGTGCTACACTCTCCATCGTCCCAAAGAAGACATTTAACTGACCTAGAGGAGCTCAGCTCCTCTGCTGTCATCTTACTGAATTTATGCATGAAGATGTTGCCATTCTCATTTAATCCCTGCTGTGATCGCCAGTTCTCCCTGAGCCATATGTGACTTTTATTCTGCTCTCCTCTGCTGTGTGGGGAAAGCAAAGTGTGTCCTGGGTACGAGATCTTCCCTGTGTGCACAGATACAGCTGCACCAGGGCTGGGTTTGGGAGAGGGATTGATGCAGTTCCAGGTACATGGTGGGCTGTATTAATGTGGAAGGCATTAATAAGGTCCTAGCTCAGTGAATTTGGACAGTTTCCTGAAAAGGTTGGGAATTGCTGATCTCTGTAGCTCATTGATTTAAGAAAGGGCAGGAAATTGCTACACGGCTGCAGCTGTGGGGAGAGCTCAGTAAGGCTCTCTGCTGATGTAAAGAGGAATTAAAATCTTTAAGGTATTACACATCAAAGGGAGCAGCCTGAGGCTTTAGGAAGAAAAAAACAGGCAAAGGTATTTGCAAGCATATATAGCAGTCAGGCGCCTGCCTCACAAGCAGGGGTCTGGCTGCAGTTGCACTGCTGTTGTCAGCTCGGGGAGGACACAAATGCTCAGCTGCCTCCTTCCCAGAGGACACACACACAGATATTCCCATAGGAGGGAGGAAAGCATTGAAGGCCAAGCTGTGTGTGGAAAGGACTTTCCAAATGGGACTTTGCTTAACTGTGCTGGATGGCTTTCCTCTCCCTTGTGAATCTGTAATCTCATTAGGATCACTGGTCAAAAAACAATTGTGATACTCTGCAATTTCCCACGTCCTTCCCACAGCTTCAGTCAAATGCAGTGCCACAGACTGTGGCTGGAGAAGGTCCTGCTGAAAATGAAAATTTTTCCTTTGCAAAAGAAACAAGGGTAATTTGAAGAAGGGCCATTTGTGAATCAGGCAAGTGAGCAGTACAAGTGAGTAGTAGGTTTTATGTATAAGGACTTAAAAGAAAAAAATAAAGGCATAGCAGCAGCAAGAGACACAGAATTCTGAGGCACCTCCAGGACATCCTCTTCCAGAGACATTAGATACTGAGTCAGAGCCATGGTTAGAGTTTGCCAGCAAATGATGGAAGAAAGAACTCCCAGGGAAAAAGCAGTGCATGGTGGAAGAAAAGCAACTCTTAAACCACTTCTTTCCTAGGACATTTCCTTTCTGCTTTATGTTGAGACTCTTCCATTAAATGGAGATGGATACTTTTCCTCCACTTATTGATTGTTATTGTTTCACTGTTGTCTCCTGCTGCAGAAATAGTGGAGGTGACTGTTGTTTTTAAAACTAGCTTCCATTTTGTATCTTTCACTTCCATCAGTTTGCAGCCTGCCCCTTTATTTCCTCATTACTGTAATCTCCCTTCATCAGAGCAAGAGACTGCTAAAACCCTGCTGCTCTGGGGACACCCCATCATGATGTGACTGACTGTATCCATATGCGGGAGCAATCTTTTCCCAGATCTTTTCTTGGATCTCTGTCACTTATTTTCATGAGTGTCTCTCTCCAGTCTTTACTGCCTCAGTCTTTGAGCTGGGAGAAGGAGCACTGAGGTGTTTCAGAGGGAAGGATGGAAACAGCTCAGCAGCTTGCTATTGTTAAGCAGTCTTTGAGCACTCAAACCATATTAAGTAATGGGGCTCAGGAATCTAACCATGAGCCTTGTTGGATGGCAGAGGGAGCCTGTGTTTGAAGGTCAGTCTAGCTCACGTTTATTATTTTTGATTTTTGGGCCTTCTTCACTTTTTGCAAAAGCACATAAAGTATCTGCAGAAATGCAACAAGAGAAGTTCCTGATGTTGGAAGAGAAGTTTCCTGGTGGTGAAAGGATACCCACATAATGTATGAATAAGGCAGGTTATTACTTGGTTGCTTTCCTGAACATCAAGCGATTGAGAAACCAGTTTTTGACATATGGAGTTCAGCTAGCCAAATGTTTGGGTAGTGAGGGTGCAGGTTTAATGCCACAGAGGTTATTTTTAGAGACTGGGTAAAGTTCATCTGACAGTGGGATGCTTGCAACAGCTCCTTATCCAGGAGGAAGCCAGAAGGGAAAACAGTCAGGAAACTCAACAGGGTGATGGAAGAAAAAACCCCTAGGCTGAAGGAAAAACCAGCACTTTGATTTCAGATGTGGGCAGCTGAGGTGAATAAAAGTTGTTTGTTTTGAAATACTCTTTGAGCTTTGTCTAGGATAAGAGAGCCAGGAGGACACTTGGAGCCAACAGCTTGGCTTCCCCAGCAAACAATGAAATGATGGCCTGAATCCTATGTGCAGTGGGAACGGCAAGATCAGCCATATGGGATGGATTATGGAGGTGCACAGATAGCTAGTTTCATTTTTCAGACAATGGAACTGTTTCATTTATTGCCTATTATTAAAACTTTATAGCACTAAAAATAAAAGAATGAATGAAAAAGAGAGAGCAAATTTTGGATACCTTTTAAAGGACTGACCTTATTAAAAAAATACTGGCAGTGAGACCTCTTCTGATACTTTTTTTTTTTACTTCCTTCATAAAGATGGTGTGAGAGGGAAGGGTTTATGGCCTGATAGATATTTTGAAGTTAATTTTTCAGTGCAGTTCCTTGGAAGAGAAAGTAGATGCCACATGGATAATGTTCAGCACACTTGGTATCAGCAACCCTCAGCAAAGGCCCTCCAAATAGCCGGACATTTCAGAAACACTGAAAACAATTATTTTTTTGTCAACATTTATTATTGTCCCAGAATATCTCTTCATTGGCCAGGTGGGGATCCTTTTCCTTGTTAGGAGGTGGAACACACACACAGAATGGCACTCCAGTATTTCTGCTGACTAGGGGAGCACACCAATGTCATAAACTGCTATGGGAGAGGCAGTTATTAGAGTTGACAGGGATTAAATTTCTTAATTCCCACCTCAACATTCTTTCAAAAGTAGGAATACATCACAGACTGAAGAAAGGCTGAGACTAGGGCTTTAAAATCAGTACACAAAGGTAGTGTGCCTTCTCACCAAGAGCTGTTTTTAGCATCAATGAATATTTTTTCCTCTGCAAGACTCCATTCATAGTGTGGTAGGTGCCTAGCAGGTTAGCACATGAAGCTGCTGTCTCCTGGGTCTTGTCTGACACCTGGAAGGATGTGAAAATTCAGTAAGGATGTGTTCTGCTTAGAAGCTGTTTCAGAAACATCCGCAACTATTTTTTTTTTCCCCATGAATTAAAAGAGCCCCAAAACCCAGAAACCAAAGATTTTAAAAAAAAGAAACAAACTAATGGGGAAAAAAAGTTTGGTCTAGTTATATAGAGGCTTAAATTTGTGCGTAGGAGAAGTGGACATGAGTTTGGGCTCTGTCACCCACATGCTCAGAGAGGATGTTTTATACACATGTCCAACATATGCAAACTTGTGGGGAGTAAAGGACTCCCATTTGGGGCAGGAAGAGCCAGCTGTGGAGTTTGACATCCATCCTTCAGGTACCTGTGACACCACACTGCCCTTACCTTTGAAGGGCAAGGCCACACTGTTGCTGCCAGCTGCTGCCACAGCCTGGAAAGGGAAGGGGGACAGGAGCTGTGTTCACAGCAAGGGGGATGTTGTAGAACTGCTCCCCTGGAGCAGGAGGAGGTGGGTCCCTGATGGTGTTGGCATCTTTCCTTCCTGTGACATACAGGGCAGGGATAGAACAGCTTTACAAGCTGCCCTGACACTCTCAGTGCTGCCATTTACCCCCTGTCAGCTCACAGACACAGTTAAGTCCAACCCTTGAAAGCAATACATTATTCCAAATTTACTGTTTTATTTCTTCTTTTTATTATGGCCTGGATATTCTCTTTTTTTCCTTTTCTTTTAGAAGTAGAAATACTATGGCGCCAGTGAGAATTGTGTTGATACAGGGGAAAATGTTAGATGGAGAGCTAGAAACTTTGATTTGTGAGTCAATTGCTGAGCTGATAATGGTGCAGGCTGCAGGGAGAGGGTAGGGGTAATAGCTTTAATCTGCTTTTAGTGCCTCCATGAGCCACCTCCACTGGGAGTTGTGAGACCAGAGCTAGAAGCCCAGTGCTGGTGCAGAGTGGGGTTCTGTACCTGGGGATCTAATGACTGAGCCAGCCAGTGTGTCCACTGCCCTCAGTAAGTTGGCCTCCCTGCTTCCCCACACCATCCTGTGGCAGACACAGAGCAGCTGGAGTAGCACAGCTGGAACTTTCAGTCTGCATTTCTGATACATTACGTGGTTCTAATCATCAAGGCAGGTCCTTTCAACAACAGGTCTGGTTGCATTGCAACTTGCTCAGGGCATTTTATGCCCCCTGGATATATAGTACCAGAAAGTTTTCTCTTAGTGTTTGGGCTGGAGTAATTTCATGAGGCTGCAAAAAAGGTACCATTCTCTTCCTGGCTGTGCATGTTGAGAAGCAGATGTAGTCTGAACATGTGTGACTTTCACACACAGGGAGCAGAGGAAATCCTGGGGGTGGTACCGGTAGTCAAAGGGCAGCTTTCGCACACAGAGCCCAGCTTAGCTGATGGGTTCAAATTCTGCCCTGCCCTGTTGCCTCTGAGCTCCATGAGCTGGCAGAGGCCGCTGTATTAACCAAATAGTTTTGTTGTAATGTGCTCAGCACTAGTGTGAGACTGCTATGCAGAGATGTCTTCTGTTTCTACTTCTAACAGCTTAGCAGCTAATAAACACCATGCAACAACCTCTCTTCTAAACCTCCTCTTAAAATACAGAGTTTGGTTTGCCAACTGCAATGTATTTAAAGCATCCAAGCTTCCGGGGAGACTCTGGAAAGTTAACTGAGTGAGTGGAGGCATGTGCAGAAAGACATTTTCAGAAGGAAAAGGCAGCTCCAGTGTCAGCTCAACATCTGATGAGCGGCTCTGGGGATGTTGTGCCTTTTGCATTGAAAGGGGATACGTTCTCTCATTTGATGAAGAATCTCTCCTGGTATCCAGTCAGTGCAAGGGCTGTAACCTACTGTGGGAAAACAGGCTGGGGAAGGTGAGGAATGGGGAACAGAGCAGTGTGCAGCTTCCACTGAGAACTTTTCCTGGGAAGAAACTCCGGTGGGTTTGATAACACACCTATGTCCTCATTGAGCCTGTGGCACTAAGAGACTTCCAGCAGAGCTATGAGTTTGTGGTGACAAGAAGAACAAATCTGAGACCCCCCTTCAAGAAGAAAAACTCTCACTCAGTTTTTGGCTTTTTTCTCTTTGATAAGTCTTTGTGGTGAGTTAGGGAACCAAAGCAGATATATCACTGATCTTTGAGAAAGAGCATCCTACGCATCTCTAGTTGAAGCTCAAAACCAAGAAGATTCCCTTTTTGATGGCTGCTCGTAGCACTTTGGAACAGTGTCCAGAACTGTGAAGTGGCAGGGAAAGGCAATTCACAAAATCTCTGATTGCATAGTCTGAATCCCAGGCCTTCTTTATTTGCATGACAGCTTACATCCAAAATTGTGCAGGGCCACTCAGTGATAAACTGAGTATGCCTTAAGGAGCTGATAGTCATGTGTCCCCTGGAAAGCAGACAGAAGGCTTGAGATTCTTGCTAGAAAGGGAAAAGGCATTCAGAGACTGTTAGGAACTTTTGAAATCCTGGGCTGGAGAAATTTCATTTTACTCTTGTGGTCAGCACTTGTGCAGGGAGACCCACTTGAGGAATTCACAGATGCCAAGGTGACCTTTCAGTGGCCGCTGGCAGCCTGCCAAGCAAGGTCAGAGCTTTCTTTCCTCAGTGCTGTGTCCCCAGCTGGTTGATGTTCTTATTCACTCCTTTTTTTTCCTTTGCACAGGACGGGGCTGGAGGCCATCATGGAGACCTACGCCTTTTGGAGGCCCCCCGTGCGCACTCTCACCTTTGAAGATTTCACTACCATGCAGAAGCAGCAAGGTGAGTGAACAAAGAGATGGCAAGAAAGAGGTTGCTCTTTCTCCTGTAGAAAGAGCAGGATAAGAGGGCACAAAAGCAGCAATGCACTTTGCTGTGTGTCCAGTGACTGGAATGGGGACGTCATACACATTGTTGAGTGCTTGGCTGAAGTGAGAGGACACAGAGCAGAGAGGGGGATGGAAACAGTGGACAGGCTGTGCCTTATGAGGTGTGATAGAATCTCTTGGGTTCCCTGGTCTCCCTAGAGCTAGAGTCCTAAGAGGTAGAAGGAGGAGCAGGAAGGATTGTAGGGTTGGGCAAACCAGCCCAAGTACACAGTATGAGTTAAATGTGAGGACAGCACAGAAAGACTGAGGAAATCATGTCGGACATGTTGTTCTCCATTTACAGTTTACATTTGCCATTTGTATGCAAACACAAGGGGAAGGGGGCTGGGGGGGATTTACCTTCTGGAAGTTTTAGGAGACCAAGAATATGTCTCCCTTTGGGGTCATGCTGCCTTGATTTCAAAACACAGTGGCCTTGCTGAAGACACTTTCTGCTAGTAAGAATCTGGGAGGAATTATTGGATAGGCCAAGTGTTCATGCTGAGTCTTTTCATAGCTTCTGCCCTTTACATATCTCATTAGTTTAAGTAGGGCTTTCATCTCTAGTTTCAGGCCATGTTGCCATTTTGCTTTTTGCAGAGGTAGGTCTTTCCCATTCACTTTAGTGCAGCTATTTCTAGTTAAAAACAGTGATCACTGAGAAAGAGTTATCAAGGCAGCAGCCTGATACTTTTTTTTTTAAATTCCAGCATACATGCAAGAAAAGAAACAATTCAAAAGGTGTTCAAATGTGACACCAGCAAAGGTGTCACAATCAACACCAACTGCCTGCCCTGTGTAGCAGATTCTCCAGCCTCTCACATTCGAGCTTGACATCACCCCCAAAAGCTCCCTCCAGATTTTGCATCCACCTGGGGATGGTGTGTTCTCCTTGAGGAAGCAGTGGTGGCTGTTGGGGTTGCCCATCACAGAGGCAGAATCAGAAGAGTGTTCAGCTGAGGAATCTCTTCTTGCTTGTTGACTGCCCCCCATGCCAGTTCCACACGCAACACCCCAGGGCCCAGGTCACCTGCTAAATGATCTTTCTGATGGCACAGCACAGAAGTAGGACAGAGCACACTCCAGTCAGCTCTGTTAGACTCCCTGTGCATGGTCTTCACCTGGCCACCCAACTCTTCTTGAGTAGCACACCATGGGGCAGGAGGTGTTTTGCACAAGCTCAGGGGCTTGTGCTGAGGAGCACTTGTGGTGGGGCACGTGGTCAGAGATGGGTTAAAGCAAGGATTTAGAAATGTTTTCATCACCCACCTAAATAGAAACATAACAGCTTCTCCTCCTGGTCACAGTCACTGAAGCAGCCTCTCTCTGATGTCTCACCCCTATTCGGGCTCGCCTGCCTCCCTGCCCTCAGTTATCAGATAACATCCTAGTGGCAGGTCCAACGATTGCTTACGTGGTAAGGTAATATTAGGAAAGGAAAATATTTAATGTATTTTTAGCTTGTTATAATATAGTTTGGCAGCTGAAAAGCCAGGAAGCAAGCCAGTACCCTGGAACCTGTGCAGACCACCACCACTGCACCAGAGACAATAAAGCCTAGGGCAGCCCTTAGTTGAAGCTGTGTTCACAGGTTGATCTCAAAACCTAACAACCCATTACAAGAGGGTTTTTGAGCTCTGCATTTAGCCATGTGAAAGAATAAATCAGAAATATTCCAACCCTCATAGTACTCATCTCTCCGGTAACTGCTGTAACAAGCTGAACCCTGGTCTCAAAAATAGGTGCAAAGCTAAGGTATAAATATGCTCTATTTTAATTTCTGGCTACTGGACAGCCCCCTAAGGCAAGGACAAATATGCTGATATGGAGTCCTTGGAACTGCTGACAGAAAGAGCAAAAAATGCTGAGGTGGCTTTAAGCCACATGTGATTCCTCCCTCCAAATGTAAGACAACCAGGATATATCGTGCTCACACCTCTTCATCTCCTTGCTTTCAAGCACATGAACTGGGTGACAGGTGAGTAAATCACTGCTGTTTAAGAGCTGGCATCGGCATAAGCCATTCAACTTCAGATCCTCTGAGACTTTACATGGATGTGACTTGCTCCAGAGTTTCCTCCTCTCACCCATCTGGAGCTTCAGTGCTCTGAGCTGTGTGGTGTCATCTCATACCCTTATATATTTATGAATTAGAAACTTTAAGGGGTTTTTTTATATATTTTTTTTTTTCATAAACAGATATTTTAATTCCAGATCCTTCCGGTTTCATCAAAGCTGGGTGGATATGTGACATTTCTGAATAAACATTTGAGGAAATGCAAGCTTTCCTTTTATCCCCTGAAATGTTTGTTGGGAAATTGCATGGGGGCTACGGGAAACTTTTGGGAGTAGATGTGCACTGCAGCTAAAGAGGAGTGAGTTCTCACTGCAGAGAGACGAGGGCAGCAAGAGTGGCCACATGCCTAGGACTGATGAGGAGCAAGCCATGGTTATCCAGCCTGTGAGGAGAGAGAGAATAGATAAAAGTACTAAAATAAGATACTGGCTGTGGTGATAGGAAGAAATACAGTAGATTCTAGTTACATTAAGGATGTGCCGTAACTGCTTTGCTGTAGGCACTGTGGAATTCAGTTTTGATTTTCTAGAGATGGACCTGTCCTGCTCTAATAGGGAAAATTACACTTTCTGGGGAAAAAGCTTGGGGCATCAGCAGCATAAATATGGTGTCTTCCTTGCTTTCAAGCTAAATTTTTCTGTGCTACCTGAATTTTCCAAGACAGTTTTGCCTAACAAATCCAACTGAATTATTTGGCCAGGTTAGAGATTTGGCTGATAAAAATAACTATAAATGTGACAATTTTTTGGAGAGCATTTAATTTACTGCCACACGTGCCAGTTCTGAAAAGCTAGTGTATATTCTGAAATGAGGAGCTGACTGATCTCAAAGCTGAGGATAACTACAAAAATGCCCTCCAGAAAGGACAATCCTGGTACTACCCTGCAGAGTCTGGTTCCAGCACTAACTTTTCCAGATCTAAAAAAATAAGTGTATTTCCTAAGAGGTACAAATCCCAAAAATATTGCAAAATAGTCAGTAGTGATGGGGACAAAGGTAGCAAGGGCAATAGAGATTGCTTGGTAACCTGCAAGCATGCAAACATGCTTCATTCAAGAGACTAAGTTTTTTGCTCTAAATATTTATCCCTTTTAGTGGGGTGTTAAGAGCTAAGGACAAATTTCTCCTCATCCACCTTCTTCACCCATTTAATTGTTTTACAGGTTTTTATCTCCCCCTTCTGTGCCTCTCAAAGTGAATAGCACCAATAGTTTAATTTATCTTTTAGTGGGAACTTTTCCAGATTCTTAATCATTTCTTTAAACACAAGTCTGCACAGAGTATTCCAGACGCATCCATGTGATACAATTATCTAAAGATATTACCATTTTTTCCACACTATCCTTACTGCCATATGACCTACATCCTAGTGCTTTGCCCATTTGTTTGGCCCAAGCTTTATGTGGAGCAAGGGACACACCAAAATCGATACTTGGTGTGCTGGATGCAGCTGTTTCATGCAGGGATTGAATAACCTTCTAATCTGCACAATGATGGCTTTCAGCTGCCACGCAGACTGGAGGGTTTGATGTTGCACCCAGCTGCAGATGCCTGGTGCAGCTGAATCTCCTGGTCCATGAGCTTTAGTTGCACGTGTTGCATTGAAGGACAGCACATCAGCAAGTCCCTGCAGGTCTGTGACCCAAGTGGCCACCATGTTGTCCTACCAGGGGAAAGAACAAGCTGCTTCTCTTAGTGAAATCCCCTGGCTTGCGAACAAAACCTCTCTCTTGGAGTGCATAATCCAAAAGTATCCACAGCTTTGCAAGAGTGAGCACCATGCTGGACACAATCACAGCAGATCTGCAGCCAGTTTTGAAAGAAAGAAGTCCCCCCTGAGAAAAACCTTCGCACGAAATGTTGCAAAAATGGCAATCCAGGAGCAGCTGAAGTTCTGGGGAATGGTATCACCCACACTGCAGTCTACTTGCTGCTGGTGAGAAAGGGGGATTGGGGTTATTGAATGCATATGGCAGCGAGACATGTGGAAAGCCAAGAAACTATTAAAGCTTTTAATTGGAATATATTTTCAAAATTTAGATTGAACCTCATCCAGATTCTCATTATTAAAAATTTGTGGCTCGGTTTCTTGATTTTAAAAGGGAACATAAAAAAAAAAAGGGGGGGGAGGAAAAAAGAAAATCAGAGTTCCAGTAACTCTGCATTATGTCACTAAGAGTAAAAGAGCTATTGCTGGCTCATTTGTGATATCCAGTTTCCCACAGGACATTTTGATGAGCAGATCACTATCACTGACTCTAAGTTTTGTGAGCACATATGAGACTAAAAAGGCAATATTAGAAGAGTGATCAGTATCTAATCCTTCCTACAAAAGCCGATGATTTATCAGAAAATGAAATCAAAGGTACCCTGGCAGTTGGTAGGAAGAAGTGCCTCCAAAGCAGGATTTCAGGACCAATGTAAGAGTCATACAATGTGATATATCATTAGGCTTGCAGTACATAAAAATTCACTTCATCATTAAATTACTGTTCTGATGCATGAATAACAAATATGCAAGAGTCAAACACCTTAAACATGACTGGTCAGTTCTCAAAGCAGCTTTCCTTACAAATGGGCTCTTTTAGTGAATAAGTGCTTTTGCCAGGGATACACCAAAGGGTAGATCCAGTAGATTCAACCCCTTCTCCATCAGCTTGAGCATCTGCGTTTATCTTGGACTGGAGGTAGAGAGTAGAGACTGCACTTCTTAGAGGGTCTGCAAAATTAGCGTTTATGGCTCTTGAGATCAGCATTTTGAGATCAGAAATTATCTACAAGGGTACTGTAGGGGAAGAGGGGTGTGTTCCTTGCTGGTGAGACAGCTGGTGCTATCT